GGGGGGGTTTTTGGGGGGGGGGGGGGGGGGTTTTTTTTTTTTTTTTTTTTTTTTTTTTTTTTTTTTTGGGGGGGGGGGGGGGGGGGGGGGGGGTTTTTTTTTTTGGGGGGGGTTTTTTGTTTTTTTTTTTGGGGGGGTTTGTTTTTTTGGTGGGGGGGGGGGGGGGGGGGGGTTTTTTTTTTTTGCCCCCCCTTCTCCTTCCTTTTGGTTTCCCTTTTGTTTTCCCGGCTTTGTGCCTTGTTTCCCTTTTGGGGTTTAAGGTTCCGGGGGGAAACTCTCCTTGCCCCGGAAAAAAAAAGGGAGGGAGAGAGAGGAAGGGGGGGAAAGAGAGGTAAAATTGGGAAAGGGGGGAAAATATTGAGAGAAAAGGGAGGAGGAGGAAAGGAGAAAGGGAAAGAAGAGAGCACATGAAGTAAAAATAAAAAAAAAGAAAAAAAAAGAAAAAAAGGAGTTTGATGAGAGAGAGATGAGAGAGAGGAGGGTGTGGTAGGAGAGGATGTGAGAGTGGGGAGGAGAGAGAGAGAGGGGGGAGGAGAAAAGGGAAAGAGAAAGTGGAGAAAGGTGATAGAGGGGAGATAGGGAGAGAGGAGGAGTGAGGGTTTGGGAGAGAGAGAGGATTAGAGAGGGGAGGGGAGGGAGAGAGGTGAGGGTGAGGTGCCACAAGACGGGCAGAAAGCAGCTTCCTCTGGCTGTACCCTTTCCAGAACATCCTCCTCTGACATCATAAACCCATATTAATTTTGAAGAAAATATCACAGATGGGTTAATGAAAATGTATATATTGATGTAAAATAAGACATTTAATGTGCCAAGAGTGATTATTATTAGTTAAAATGTTTTCCCTCCGTCTGGCAACGACACCTCCATAGCATATAAACAGCATGTTTATATGTTATGTAATGTGTTTCTTATATAATTTTGAAGAAAATATCATAGATGGATTCATGAAAATGTCTATATTGATATAAAGTAAGATATTTAATGTGCCCAAGAGTGATTATTACATAAAAGAGATGTGCTCATGGAGAATGTACAACCAGGTGGGGCGCGCCGTATTTGAAAGATTGCTCGCTGTATAGGAAGTTTTGGTCATAATTTGAAATTGCTGTATTAGTGGAATGTCATAAGGCGAAATGTCGTAAAGCGAAGCCCCCACTGTACCTGAACTCTTGCATGTTTATGAGACAGTAAAAGGACACCAGCAATCCTACCATCATGTAAAACAATTACAGGCTTTCATTATACACTCCCTTGGTAGTATGGTAGTATCTTCCTGAGGGGTTGCTGTCTACCAACCTACTACCTAGGTCTCGAATGAATTATTTTATTGAAAAAACTTTCATGCAGCACTGGTAAACCTGAAACAGATTATGATATATGAAACCTATGATAGTAATGAAGCCACACAAAAAATATGGACGAGCCATAAAGTGGCTGAATTCTTTAAACCTCATTTCATTATGCTCTTATTAACAGACAGAAGGTAAAGAGGAAACAGGACAGGCAGGATTGTGAATGGTTAAAAGCAATAAGCAAACAAGATTTCTTCACACCAGCAAATACTGTAAGGAAAATGCTGTAACATTCATTGACAACTGGGACCTCTTCTATGGCAGAGATGACATGTATGCCAGGGATGGGGTTCACTTATCTAGGTGTGGGGTGGAAGCACTGGCAACTGCAGTGGAGGGAGCTGTTAGGACTTTAAACTAGGAATAGTTAGTGGTATGGGTTTTGGCAGGAAAACAGTGAAGTCCCAGTCTAGTAACATTACGAGTTCTAGGGGAACTAGTAACAAGCAGAACGAGGTAGATATTGAAAAGCCAGTGACTTTGGGTGATAAGGACAGTAATAGGTTTAGTAGAAAAACAGAAATGAGCAGGAAAGGTAAAGAGAAAGGAGAGTCTTTCAATGTTTATTATGCTAATTGCCGTAGTGCTAGGAATAAGATGGACGAGTTGAGATTAGTTGCTAGTGCAGGTAACATTGATGTATTTGCCTTAACTGAAACGTGGTTTAATTCAAAAAGTCGGGACATGCCTGCAGAATGTCATATTCAGGGTTTTAAGTGGTTCCAAGTAGACAGAAGTATCGGGAAGGGGGGTGGGGTGGCATTGTATGTCCGAGATCGCTTGAACTGTTGCATAAAAACGGGTATTAAGTTTTGAAGTAACACATACAGAGTTCTGTTTGGATAGAATTTTCAGAGGGGAAATGAAAAAACTGATTTTAGGAGTGATATACCGTCCCCCAAACTTAGATAGGGATCAAGGGAGACTACTATGGGAGGAAATTGTTAAGGCCACAAGGCACGATGTAGTAATTCAAGGAGACTTTAACTTTAGTCATATTGATTGGAATTTCTTGACTGGGAATTTAGAATCATACGACTTCTTAGAAGTAGTTCAGGATTGTTTTTTGAAGCAGTTTGTGACAGAACCTACAAGGGGAAATAACCTGCTTGACTTAGTTATGGCAAACAATGAATCCCTTGTTAATAATTTAGAAATTTCAGAGGAACTGGGTGCTAGCGACCACGAATCAATTACATTTAGCATTGAATGGAAGTACGATAGTAGCGATAACTCAGTAACAGTCCCAGATTTTCGCTTAGCAGATTACGATGGGCTTAGAGAACACTTATCATCTGTTGACTGCGGTAACGAAGAGAGCTATCAATATGACAGTTTTCTGAACACTATACATGCTGCTCAAAGAATGTTTATCCCATATAAAGAAATTAGATCAAATAGAAATGACCCAAAATGGATGAATAATAGGCTCAAATATCTACTAGGGCATAAGAAAGGAATTTATAGGTGTATCAAAAGAGGCGAGGGTCATCTTATGAATCAGTATATTGACATTAAGAGGGACATTAAAAAGGGGATAAGAAAAGCTAAAAGGGACTATGAAATTAAAGTTGCTAGGGATTCTAAAACTAACCCAAAAAGTTTTTTCAAGGTCTATAGAACAAAAGTTAGAGATAAGATAGGTCCCCTTAAAAATAACTATGGGCACCTTACTGACAAAGAGAATGAAATGTGCTTGATTTTAAATAATTTTCTCTCAGTTTTTACACAGGAAGACACTAACAATATTCCAGTAATTAATTTTTATAGTGGGCTAGAAGATAAATTATGTAACATCACAGTCACTAGTGAAATGGTTGTGAAGCAGATAGACAGACTGAAGCAAAATAAGTCGCCGGGTCCTGATGAGGTTTTTTCAAGGGTTCTTAAGGAATGCAAAATGGAACTCTGTGAACCATTAACTAATATTTTTAATTTATCTCTTCAAACAGGTGTAGTGTCTGATATGTGGAAGATGGCTAATGTAATTCTATTTTTAAAACAGGGGACAAGTCGTTACCGTCAAATTACCCCCCAATAAGCCTGACCTCAATTGTAGGCAAATTACTAGAGTCAATTATAGCTGAGTTTATAAGAAGCCATCTCGATAAGCATAGCTTGATTAATGATACTCAGCATGGATTCACAAGAGGCCGGTCTTGTCTAACTAATTTATTAACTTTCTTCAGTAAAGCTTTTGAGGCTGTTGACCACGATAAAGAATTTGATATTATTTACTTAGATTTTAGTAAGGCTTTTGATAGAGTTCCGCACCATAGACTGTTAAAGAAAGTGGCAGCTCATGGCATTGGGGGAAAAGTGCTCTCGTGGATCGAGTCATGGCTCACTGACAGGAAGCAGTGTGTGTCCATAAATGGGGCTAAATCCGAGTGGGGATCTGTAACAGTCTTGGGCTGTTGTTGTTTATAATATATATCAATGATCTTGATGAGGGAATTACTAGTGATATGAGCAAATTCGCCGATGACACAAAGATAGGTAGGATAATTGATTCAAACGTTGATGTTATGGAACTTCAGGAGGATTTAAACAAACTCTATTCTTGGTCAGAAAAGTGGCAGATGCAGTTCAATGTAGATAAATGCAAGGTTCTGAAGCTTGGGAGTGCCCATAACCCTAGTACTTATAAGTTAAATGATGTAGAACTTAACCATACAGATTGCAAAAAGGACTTGGGGGTTATGGTGAGCAGCAACCTTAAACCAAGACAGCAATGCCTAAGCGTACGTAATAAGGCAAATAGATTACTGGGATTTATATCAAGAAGTGCAAGCAACAGAAGTCCAGAGGTCATACTGCAGCTTTATACATCATTAGTAAGGCCTCACCTAGATTATGCAGCTCAGTTCTGGTCTCCATATTACAGAATGGACATAAATTCGTTAGAAAACATTCGGCGTAGGATGACTAAATTAATACATAGCATTAGAAATCTTCCTTATGAAGAAAGATTGAAGACTCTTAAGTTACATTCACTTGTTAGACGAAGAATGAGGGGAGACCTGATCGAAGTGTATAAGTGGAAGATAGGTATTAATAAAGGGGATATTAATAAGGTCTTGAGGATGTCTCTCCAAGAGAGAACCCGCAGTAATGGATTTAAATTAGATAAGTTTAGATTTAGAAAGGACATAGGAAAGTATTGGTTTGGAAATAGAGTAGTTGATGAGTGGAACAGTCTACCTAGTTGGGTTATTGAGGCTGGGACTTTGGGTAGTTTCAAATTTAGGTTGGATAAGTACATGAGTGGGAGGGGTTGGATTTGAGTGGGACTTTCACATCAGAGCTTATTTCTTGGGTAGCATTGAAAATTGGGTTGGGCAAATGTTTTGTTAGTGGAATGAATTGTAAAGGACCTGCCTAGTATGGGCCAACAGGCCTCCTGCAGTGTTCCTCCTTTCTTATGTTCTTATGACCCTACATTGTAAACAAAGAAAGGAACTGTCAAAAGAACACTAGAAAGCTTTTTACTGAGTTGCAAAACAATGGAATACTTACAATTATTGGAAGGTGAAGAAAATATATGATAAATTAAATACCAAAAGATAGGATACAAATATGCACAACTTTGCAACTAAAGCAACAGTACAGAAATTTAATTAGGAAGCAAAAAATTGTTTAACTAACCTTTGGATGGAGGGCTGCAGAACTTGGGTCAATGACAGTGAAGTCTTTGAGCTGAGAGGTAATAGTAACATCCTTGCCTTTCATGACAACATTCACTACCAAACCTGTATGTGACAATAAACCTAAGATTAAATCTCAGAAATGAGTAACTATATAAAAACTAAGATTATTAATTATTAATGTTTGTTACTGCCATTTAATTTAAAACTGAATTAAGAAGCTTCATGAAGCACATCAAGCTACAAAGTTAACAATTACTTACAATTTCTGTAATGGAAAAATACAAAGGCATCGCTTTCAGTGCTTGTAAAAATGCCAAAATTATTTGACCAGTAAAAGGTGATTACAAACTATAAAATTTAATTGTCACCATCACTACTGCTGTTTCTCTATCAAACTAGGGATTTGTGGTTGAATTCTCCCACACACTAAAATGGCTTTTCTTTGGCAATTCAAGAGATTTGATTATTACTCCTTCAAGATCACATGACATACTATGCAAAATGCTTCTTTTGGAAATTATCTTATCGCAATGGGCAAGTAATGATAGACCCTACTCTTTCATCCAGCTGCTGACAGCACAGCTATTAGTAGTTTATGGAATTTAAACAGACAACTTATACAGTGGTACCTCAGGATATGAACAGCTCAAAACGCAAACAATTATATAAGTGTATACACTTACATAATTGGATACCATAAATGGAACTTGAAAGTACAACACTGACAGGAAGCTCACAGAATGTGTTCTTGGCTCTTAATTGTTGTACAATTCCTTGGTGTGGATGCAAGCAGAGGATCTCTTATGGGCTCTGGGCAAAGCAAAACAGTGCATTTTAAATTAGATAATAGTTTCAGCTCAAATACTTGCTAGCCAGTAAAATCTTCAATGCAATCACATTTGTACTTGAGAAGGTCAGATGTAACATCTTGAGCAACTATGGATAATAGTGTATAAACTAGGAATATACTCATAACTAAAGAGAACATTCATTTTCAAGATGTACAGAAATGTCTGGCCTAGTTTAGTGACGTGCAAAATAAAAGAATAAAGATTTCATTTCTTAGCAAAGGTTACAACATGTAAGTCCTTTCTAAGTGTATTTTTGGGGGTCTGAAATGGATTAATCTAATTTACATTATTTCTTATGGGAATAAACTCGTTTGGTATCAGCACTTGAACAGCCTTCTGGAACAAAATAAGTTTGTATCCCAAGGTACCACTGTATTTCTGGAGTATTAAACTATAACTTGTCTTAATCAAAAACTCCTCATTGTAATACTGAAGTTAAAGAACTAGGCCAATGCTCGAGTATTAAACAATATTGATTCTATTATGGGGTAAGACTTTTGCACCTATTTTTTGGAAACAAAAACATATGCAGTTTAATGTGATCCTTTATTGACAATAAAGGATCACATTAAACTGCATATGTGTTTATGTTTCCATTGTGTCAGTATTTTATACCATTTATTTTCACCTATTTTTTACATTAAACAGAAATTACCTGCAAGAAATAAAATGTTAATAACTTATACCAAAGCAATGACATTCACCTGCCACATCCACCTGAGCAACTTCACGTGTCTGTAGACCAATGATCACACTCACTTGACCTAATTTGGCCACGATCTTCAGTGTAATAATGTCTGATGCATGTTTCTTAAGAGGAACTGTAACAATTAAAATAGTAAATGTATTAATCATTTCTTAACTACCAACCTTCAGTGTGAAGAGTCATTTGCCTAGAAAATGATTAACAGCAATATCACAGGGAAAAAAAATATATTGAAGATATTCCAAGTGACACCTGTACAATCATACAATTTTCACACTCTTCAAGAATAGTACAACCATATGCTAGCTAGTCATTGGCACCAGTATACTGGTATCATGCCTGACTTGGTATATCTAAGACTACATAATCACAATTTCAGAATATACAGGACAAAATATATAAATAGTTGAATAATGCGACTTATTTGCACATTTTTAATTACAACCAAAAGTTAACTTCATAGAATATATACAGCAGTACATTACACAATTATGAATGTTAATCAATACAATGATAAACAGAAGCACCAATAATACTATATAAAAGCAATAAATTATAAATAATACAAGCTAAAAAATTATGTGATGGAAATACTATTTCCATGAATATCTGATTAGCTAAACAAATTACACTTCTCAAAACTGCATGCCAGTTGTAATTTCCTGCTGCCAGAGGTCCATATTTGAGAGTATGCTCTGTTAAACATAGGTCAGATGGCAAATACCTTTACCCCAGATGCCCTGTTTGAAGGAATTATACACTCAACCTGCAAGTCAGAAATTCCTCAACATGAAACTGGAATTTAAAGCCTTGACCCAGTCACTGTCTCATTTGAAGATCTATGTTATCAACACCAGGGTAGCCCATATAGACTTAAGTTTTAAGCTCAGCTCCCTCAAATAAGCTGTGAGCAGTAAATTTTGGCCTAGATAACAGAGAATGGGTCTGCGCAGTGTACATTGTAAAAAAAAAAAAAAAATCAGAGACCACTGACTTCGTACCTTCATAATGTTGCAAAGTTTGCCAACAAATTTCATACATTTGGTATCATTACCATTGCAAATTTTTTTTTTAAGTGGACACTGAGCAATATTACTTTCATGGGTTTGGACAGTGAAAGGGTTAATTTCAGGGGTCACAACAATGAAAGGGTTAAATTATGTTATCTTGAACAGAGTGGAGGAATGAATATACCTAATACAGTACTACAAACTGTATGCTAGAAGATCATCTTAGAAAAACTGATGAGCTTAATCTTCAGTGTCTCTTGTGCCACTAAATGAGGCTTGAATATCCATCTGCAGCTAAGTACAATACATGCCAAGGTAGTTTAAGTAAATGGTAGTGCTTTTTGCTTGTATCTGAAGGACCCGGGTTAAATTCTACAATGAAAGGAAATGGTAGGCAACCACCCTTTCCCATCCCATGGAAATAAGCTACACTATCCTAGATTACTATCCCTCCAAGTTAGTAATAGATAATAATACTCATGTACCACATCAAGTAAAACCTCTACTTGCGAGTTTAATCCACTCCATGATCTTGCTCGCAACTAGGTTTACTCGTTTGCAGAGTCAATTTTCCTCATTTAAATTAATTGAAATGCAATTAATCCATTCCAGTGGAATTCTGTACTTCAATAATTTTGCTAGTATCAACTGTACGGCTTATTTATCTATCTCACTTCATCTAATATGACATATTATACAATATAAACAACAGAGAAACCCGATATATACTCTAAAATGAATAAAATATGTAATTCATGCAGTGGTATGGGCAGTGTTGGGAATGGACAAGAGCTTGACTGGAGACTGGACAAAATACTTAATGAATAATTTCGCTATCACCATCTATACGGCTTATTATATATCACAGTTCATCTAATATGACATAACAAATATAAATAACATAGAAACCTGATATATACTCCAGAATGAATAAAATATGTCATTATATATGTGGCAGCAGCGGCATCCAATGAGAGTTTGTCTAAAGACAGGACAAAATACTCCTTGAATATATCGCTATCATCAACTCTATGGCTAATTTATCTATCACGGTTCATCTAATAAGACATAACAAACAATATAAATAACATAGAAATTTGATATATACTCCAGAATGAATAAAATATGTCATTATATATGTGGCAGCAGCGGCAGCCGACGAGTTTGTCTGGAGACAGGACAAAATACTCCTTGAATGTTTCGCTATTGTCAACTCTACGGCTTGTATATTTATCACAGTTCATCTAGTATGAAATAATAAACAATATAAATAACATAGAAACCTGATATATACTCTAGAATTAATAAAATATGTCATTATGTAACAGGTGGAGGCGGCCACAACCGCTCCCTCTTTGTTGTGGTAAACACTGCCATCTAGTGATGGCCTTTTGAAGCCATTATAATTATTATTATGTAGTACATTATTATTATGCATGTATATGTATTATTATATGTATTATATTATTATTGTATTACATTATTATACTATTATTATTATACGTTTTTTTTTTTTTTTCAACAAGTTGGCCGTCTCCCACCGAGGCAGGGTGACCCAAAAAAGAAAGAAAATCCCCAAAAAGAAAATGCTTTCATCATCATTCAACACTTTCACCACACTCACACATAATCACTGTTTTTGCAGAGGTGCTCAGAATACAACAGCTTAGAAGCATATACGTATAAAGATACACAACATATCCCTCCAAACTGCCAATATCCCAAACCCCTCCTTTAAAGTGCAGGCATTGTACTTCCCATTTCCAGGACTCAAGTCCGACTATATGAAAATAACCGGTTTCCCTGAATCCCTTCACTAAATATTACCCTGCTCACACTCCAAAAGATCATCAGGTCCCAAGTACCATTCATCTCCATTCACTCCTATCTAACACGCTCACGCACACTCGCTGGAAGTCCAAGCCCCTTGCCCACAAAACCTCCTTTACCCCCTCTCTCCAACCCTTTCGAGGACGACCCCTACCTCGCCTTCCTTCCCCTATAGATTTATATGCTTTCCATGTCATTCTACTTTGATCCATTCTCTCTAAATGACCAAACCACCTCAACAACCCCTCTTCTGCCCTCTGACTAATACTTTTATTAACTCCACACCTTTCAGTTTTTTAATTGCTTTTAATGTTTAACACAAAATAAACTAGATTTTTATGGTATTAAAGGAGTTTAAAGAGGTTTCAGCACTTCAAACCGGTGAAATGTTCAGCCTGACACTGCTTCATTTAGAATATCCAGTACAGTAAAGCCCCCCCTTATGGTGCTCCACTAATACACACATTTCAAATTATGACCAAAACTCTCTATACGGCTTCCCCTACCTGACTTCTAATATGGTCACCACGAACCACCTGGTTTGTTTACATTATCTGTGAGAACGATTCTCTATTGGGTGGAAACTTTCCAAAATTTCAAGTGTTTTAAAGTTATTTCATATTTTATATATACTCTGATTATACTTATGTGCAGGTACACATTAAAAATCACTAAGTGTGTCTTATTAGTCTAGAAGATGCCATATTAATAATAATTATAGTAACAGCAACACAATAATATTCACTTTGAGGCGCATTAAATGTAGTACAGTAGGGCCCTGCTTTACAGCGTTTTGCTTTACGGAATTCCGCTGATACGGTCATCTGAAATTATGACCAAAACTCGCTATACGGCTCCCCCCCACCTGATTTTCTAATACGGTCACCGCGCCCCACCCGGTTTATTTACATTCTCTGTGAGATCCAAGCACAAAGTCTCTCCATTATGTCTGGAAACAACAAAATTTCAAGAGTTTTTAAAAGTTATTTCATATTTTATATATACTCTGATAATTATACTTATGTATACCTGTACCTAAATAAACTTACATACTGTGCTAGCGTGCAGGTACACATTAAAATCAGTAACAGTGCCTTATGTCTCGAGAAGTCATATTACTAATGATAATAATAATCCAGTCTCATTAAATGTCGTATATTATGTTAATATACACACTTTCATTAATCCATCTGTGATATTTTTTCAAAATTATATAATAAACACGATGCATAACATATAAAGATGATAAATACACCCCACAGTAGAATAAATAAACAAATATGAGATGTGGTAGCAGACGACTTGCACAAATGATGCCATATTAGAAACGATAATAATAATAATCACAGTCATTAAATGTTGTATATTACGTTAATATACACATTTTCATTAATCCATCCATGACATTTTTTCCAAAATTATATAATAAATGCGATACAAAACATATAAAGATGATAAATACACCCCACAATAGAATAAATAAACAAATATGAGATGTGGTAGCCATATAACTTGTACAAGTGATGGCAAGAATAACATTTTCTCTAATCTAACGTAAGAAAAAATGTGTTACTGGGGGCAACAGTAGAAAATTATTCCTTTCGTATGTATGTAAGTTTATTCAGGTATACACAAATACAGTTACATAGATTGTCATACATAGCAGCATATGTGTTGAGAACCTAGGATAACCCAAAAAAAGTCAGAGTGACTTATTTCCATTGCCTTCACTCAGAGCGTCATTTCTTCTAAAAATGGTGTTACATGAGAATGGGAGTGTTATTCTTTATTTATTCTACCATTTCAATGTAGAGACAACTTGTACACAATGTAGCTTGTACACAAACCGGATGTGTACACTCTGTTTACAAAACTTACCTTCACCTGGTTTGTTAACATAACTCGGCGCCTGTTCTCCTTCATGTACTCATTCTTTTTCTCTCTCATTTATTCGTTTTATCTCGTTTACTCACTCCTGACCCTACATTAAGACTACAAATATTTTAAGGTAAGTAATGAGTAAACTGTATATGCATTTTATCGCTCTGGGATGCTTAAATGTAATAGAATATTATGTGTAGGTGGGATAGCCTGGTATGGTAGCCCGGCTAACTACCATAGAGCAAGAGCAGCATGCCAAAGCCACTTATATGCATAGCATTACGGGCTGGCTTAAAATTAACTTAAGATTAACTAAGCAATGATGAAATCAGTGATAAAACATTATTGTAAACAGATAACTATAAAGCACAAATGAGTATTACAAAGACAGGTC